ACGGAAAAGCAGAATCGAAAAAGACCTTTCCACGACAGTTGCGTGCTTCCCCATGCCACCATCGAGTAAACAATGAAAAGACAAGCAAAAAGTAAAGTGGAAGGAAAAGGATTGTAATTAATTACCCTCCCCGTCAAGATGATAAATGGAAAATGACAAGAAGCAAATTAGCAAAGACAAATGGGCGGTGCACAAACGAATCACGTGGGTGAAGAGTCGACAGAAGCTTCCCCACCCTCCATCAACTCAACACTAAGTCAAGCCAGACCAGAGCAAACCACACCCAACCGCAAACACTGGACCAAGTCAAGTCAAGCAAAACCCTCGTCTCGTAGCCCCGCTCAGAATATCCCTCTTGAATGTAAATGACCACGATCTCAGGACTTCACCCTTACCTCCCAATAAGGCAGTCAAAATGCTCAGGTGGTCACGAGGTCATGTGTTTAAGGGAAGGTGAAGGAAAGATGCCAATTTAGTGAATACTGATTCATATGCTGCATTGGCATGGTAAAGCTGCCGAAAGAACTGTGTTCGTCAACGGAAGACGACGTGCGTGCCTCTCCCTTCCATCCATCCCCTTCCCCCACCCTCTCCGTCCCTCTCCACCCCTCCCTCTCCTGCACTGGCGACCACGTCAATCGCCAATTTGAGGCGCCTACAGAGCTGTAGTGGGAACTGGAACTGACGTTGTCCTCTACTTTAACAAGGCTATAGGTGATAGGCGAGAAGGGACATTTGACACTATCACCAGTCATCCATCCAATGTTTGCACGATTAAGTACCCTCATTCCAGCTGAGGTGGTGGCACTCACTATGACATTCTCTGACAGAATACACATTCTGCATTCGATGTGATACTCCTGCAAAGGCCATAATGCTTCACCACTACAGGTAGGGTTCGAATGAGAAGGTGAGGTTGAGAGTAAGTGAGTGGGTGGATGAGTCAAGGAGACGGAAGAACAAAGAGACGGTGCCAAGGTGATGGAGGGGGAGGGGAGGGAGGGTATGGAGGGTGAGCATGAGGGAGGGAGCGAACGAGTGAGAGCAAGAGATGGAGGGTGTTCGCGTTGGGTGTGACCACTGAGACCATCGTTAATACACAACTGCCGTTTCGACTGCGACTCATAGTGCTGTGACTTTGTTTCGGTGCATTTGAACTCATCAAATCTCTCTTCACCCCCTCCCCCCATCCACTGACAATCGACTAATGACCATTGCCTTAATGGCCGCTAAGGGAAATTGGCACACACACACACACAAAGACCAGGCAATAAATAACTCTAGGTCTTGGCACACACTTCAAGTGAACTAACTTGACAATGTAGTGAAGGCGCTAGGCCGAATAAATGGCTTCTCACTTCATTGTCTTCTTTACCTTTGACAGCGAGAGAGAAAGCGAAGTGGAGGCCGAAGTAGAGGAGGCAGAGTAGTTTAATGTCAAGTATTTGGCCTAATTATTTGGAGCTTGACACACAAAGCTGAGTAAAATTTCCGCTGGAAGAAGTGTAGAATTGCAGAGGAGAACAGATCCATCGTGCTACAATTTTACTGCTAAATGCTAAGCACTATCACGACGAAGTGCCAGTGTAAAGTGACAATATGACAAAATTTGACGCAATTTGCAGGAATCTATTGGCACAACGCTTTGGAGACTTAGCGCTTAATTTTTGAACATCCTTCTTTGATCGACAGAGATCACATTTCACTCTACTATCATCAATTTGACGTCCGATTTGCGCCCATGAATGGTAGCTTATGCCTATGTCATTGATGATTTATCTAAAAATAGACGCGGAAAATAGCCTTCGCAATCCCGATCGGAAGAGGCTTTCAGATTCAAGCAGCGCGCTGTTTGGAAGGAGCTAAGGTTAATTGGGGAGGAACTGACTACACTTCAAAATGTCTGTTATTTTGGATGTCACCAGACTTGAATACTCCTAAGCGTGGAAAAGATTATTCAAGAAGCAGATGAAACCCACCAGCCACAAGGAAATGGGAGGTTTAAAACCTTAGTAATTGATCGCAAGCGTGTCAAGTTCGGCCAAGACTTTTGGGTTTATGGAAGAGAGCAAAAGAGAAAGTGTACGTCTTTCAACTTGGTTCTCTGCCACGTTTACAGGCACATATTTCAGTGTTTAACCAATTACTGAAAAGCAGCGGCTCAAACTTCCTAGAAAAGTCTGCTTTACAATCACCTTCTGTTCAATTTCACGACAAACGATGCGTCAATCAGGCGCCCAGAATCAGACAGGCTTTCAAGCGTTGCGTGCGATGAGTGGTTGGGAGGCATCAATGCCGGGATCTTCCATGCCAGATGCTTTTGAAACATATGCACCAGTCTAGTATCTCATTACGGCTGAGCTGCTCGCCACTGCACTCACTTTTTTTGAAGCCTTTCACACATACGAGTAAATTTCCGTGAGTTTTACCCTATGTTTTTGTTCACAAGATCTTTCGTTCACACGCTGTTCTGTGTACAAACTCACTCTGAGTTAATGTTCTGACACTTACCGGATTAGTGATTGACTATGGTGACAGATGTCATGCACTGAACACATCAAAACGAAGCAGATGTTTCACGTACAGGATTCCAATCGAATGAGTTTCTAAACTAGTGAGCAACGGGGCCAAATGCTTACGCTTGAGGAATAAAGGAGTCTGACCTACCAACACCCATTGTGAATGATTTCGTCTGGAGAATTTTAGTGATTAGCTAACGGAGGGAAGATGAGCTAACTTACACTTGTTGACGTCCTTGGCCGAGTGACGTTTGCCGATTTCAGCCAAAGAGCGGATGATGTGCAATTGTTGGCCAGACTTGGCGCGTCGTTTTTGGCGGGTATAGAGAGTACTGTGGTGAAGTAGGAGCAACTCCCGAGTCTGCTCTCGAAAACCTGGCTCTAGCATTTTTTTCTTCACCATCCGCTGAATCACTTCGTCTGTGAAAAGAAAAAAATAGGTAAGCCTTCCATCTATTCATCGCTTGTTTACTAAACCTCTCAAGTGATAGTCGGTCGGTCCACCTACTGCTTGACTGATCAAATCATCCACCCATTTGCCAGTCCATTTCCATCAAACCGACCTGAAACTTCCATTCAACCCTGATCCACCCATCCATCTATAAATTTATGCACATACTCACTCATCAGCACCCATAAACCCCACCGTTAATCATATGTCCCACTTCATTCGCCTACCCATCCATCAATCAAAGCTACTTAATCATCCGCCTATCTACCCATTTACCTACTCCGACCTACCACCGATTCAACAATCCATTCACTGAATAATTTAAACATCCACGCATTCTTCCATCCATTCATCAACAAAAGTGTCCTCATTGAAACAACCAAAGTAAACAGATTGACCGTAAGGCACCTATGAGATGAAGCATGTTCCCTTTAAGGTAACAAAGTACAAAAATTTAGAATTAATTTAATGAAAATTAAAGATATTAAAGCTGTTGATGTTCTTAATACATAAGGAAGAACTCGTGCTATTCTGTCAGTTGGGAGCTATCACCTCGCATTCGAGGGGGATAATATGCCACCAAATTATACTGTAAATACTTAAAACATACTACTTACAAGTCTATTTAAGTAAAACCAAAACATGGCAATTAAAGTAGCAGGAGGTTACAGCAATTCTAGAAGGCCTTGGGTGTAAATCAGGCGCCCGACATTCACGATTTGAAGTCCAGAGTTACTTCCCTGAATGGATTCTTTAGGTGAGTGATGAAATTATGAGAAAAAGGCAGGTTCAAATCTTAACGAAGAGAAGTGGGAGAGTTTTGGTTGCACCTTTTATGCGACATCAAAAACTGTGCATCAAGTTATTTTTCTTTGAAGAGCAAGCTCCACGTAGCTTCAAAGAGCTTCCGATGCAAATTTTTAACTGTCAATAACCTTAATCTTCGATCACTGATATGCATTTATCTACTTTACAGGGAAAAAAGCAGAATAGCTAAAGTGCTGAAGAAGGTGGCGTGTGCGTGGATAGGACCTGCTGCACCGCTTCCTTTCCCTGTATTCATTCACTCCATCGCCCATTTATATCATCAACATGGACCAGATATCCTGCAACGTTTCAGATTGCAATTAAACGCCCTCAACTCATAAAAAGAAGGTATTTTGAGAGACAAATGCCACGAAATTCGATCGAAAGTGATTTGGGGCAA